GCCTCTCGCTCGAGTTTGAGCACGCTGTCCTCCGGCGGACGGTGCCTGCCTTTGAGGAGTGCTGGGACCTCGAGGGGGCGCTGTGCCGAGTTGAGGCGGGATGCCTGGTCCTCGTACTGTGAGACCACCAGCGGCTCAAGCTGCAGAGACGCGTCAAGCGGGCCGAGGCCTTGGACTTTCGTTCATGTGGGGCAACCCCTGAGGCCTCCATGGGTGTCCCCCGATGGCAGAACTGTAAAACTGTCAATAGTCCGAATGTTCGTGGTGTGTTTTTTTTGTGTGTGTGTGTGTGTGTGTGTGTGTGTGGTTTTGTTTAGTCTAGAGTGTACAGGCAGGCCTTGCAGGCCATGAGCCCAGGCCTTGTCCATGAGGCCCAGATATCCAGGCGTACCTGTACATGCTCTTTACTGGCTCCGAGTGATCACCCACCCGGGAATAAATGTCTCTTAAAAGTCTTTCTTTCTTTCTTTCTTTCTTTCATATTAACCACCTTCTTATGGTCTTTAAAGCACTGTAATGATACTCCCTCAAGTTCTGGTTTAGAAGTGCCTCTCCCAGAGAATCATTAATTGTCAGAAAAATGCCCTCTAACACCATCTTTACAGCTATTATAAACAAAATGATAAACAAGCTTCGGCAATGAAAAAAAAAACTTTGGTTTTTGTTGTTGTTGTTGCTTTTTGTTTAACAGAATGATGCAGTTAACCAGTATAAACAGGACGTTTCTAAGGAATCATTATGTTTATATATTAGTTAGTCAGGTTTTTTGATTCATCTCTTTACATCCCATTCAACCTTTGGTTACAGGAAGGAAGAAAGAAATTCACCTGCAGTGATACAAAAAGTATTTGCATTACTGAAATGGTCATGATTAAAAAGCCACAATTACCCCACAATCTTTTTCTTCTTCCTGTGGTTGGTTTATAATGCAGAAGTTAAAATGCCACTAAATTAAATGCTCTTTCTGCTTTATCTTTGGTGATAAGAAAAACAATAATTCAGTATAATAGCGCACAGCCGCTATCAGCACTGAGCCAGGGATGCCATCACATTTACCTCAAGGGAAGCCTTTTCTCCTTGAGTCACTTAATTGGTTGTACAATCACTTATTTCCATAACACATTTTTAACTACTTTCACTGTACATATTCTCTTAAACAAAAAAATACTAGGTATAATGTTAAATTACACTGAAGTAAAATATAGGAATGGAATAATTTAAGCAGTACTTAGCAACAGTCCAAAGAGAATGTTGTTGGTTATAAACATAAAGAAAAACATTAAAATCACAAGCACGTTGTGAAGAAGGATAATGTTTTTAAAAGCACCTTATGGCGCCAGTATAGGGTAAGGCAAACTGATGCTCTAGTTTAGTCTTGGATGAACCTAAACTGAACTTGGGTAAATTTTAGAAACCCAAAATGGTTCAAGTTGACCCAGCAGACAGAAGTTGAAATAGGCACCTCAATTTCCACCTTGATTATTTCTAGGTGCCTCCAGCTGTTTTCAGCACATACTCAGAAGTAGCAGTATCACATTTTGAGCACTTAGGCACCTGGGTCATGTCTAACTTTCCTCACAGTGCAGTTTGGTGCTAGAGCAGCAACTATCTCTGCAAAAGGATGCAATCCATTGTGTAGGCTCACAGCAGCTCCGATTTGGATCAACAGCACTAATTTAAGCTAAAAAATGAGGGCAGTGGTGGTCACCCCTTGCTCAAGAACCTAGTAGAGTAATTAGAAGACTATAGTTTGAGACCCTCTCATCCTGAAGGGATTTGAATCCCATTTCCTACATGTAGCAGACTTGGGGCTCCAGTCCCAGACTGATGCCCGCACTGGTTAGATCCACCTACTGTGCTCTCTAGCCTCTATTGCCTTTCCTGTTTCCATCTACCATACCTTTGGTATTAAATGGTATGATGGATTTGGGAGGTTGTCTTAGGAAGCTAGAGTAGCCCCTTTAGGTGCTTTCCCTCTTGGCATTGTCTCTCCAGGCTTCTCTGCCCACAAAACAGTTTCTCCAGGGCACTGTTTCTCTAAGACATTTCCTCTTTAACACAGTCTTCAGGAATTCTCCATCTCCAGCACAGTTATCCAGGGTGTGCCTCTGGCTCAAAACAGTTCACAGGGCAAGCCCCCAAAGCAATCCTCTTGGCTGTTCACCCTCAGCAAAGTTATTCAGGGCAGGCCCCCCTCTTGCCCCCTTATCATGTGACTTATAACTAGAGCACTCCGTGCCTCCCTGAACATTGCCTCCAGGCTCCCCCATAGCCATATCCATGCCTCACAGGTCTTACTCTAAGTTTATTTGCCA